GTGGTGGTGGTGGTGGTAGAAGTAGTAGTCGTCGTCGTCGTCGTACTCGTGCTAGTAGTAGTGCTCGCAGTACCAGCAGCAGCAGCAACAGCAGCAGTAGTAGCAGTAGACGTAGCAGAATAAGAGTAATTAGCAGCAGTAGCAGCAACAGCAGCAGCAGCAGAAGCAGTGGGAGTTATGCCTCTTACAGACGAGACATATTTACGAAGAGTTGCTTGGTTCTACTTTTGTTCTCGTCGCTTGTACCTCGATCAATCCCTGCTACATGCTCGCCCCTACTGTGCGGACCGCCTCGCAGCTGCCTCGAGCTGGCCCAAGCGCCGGAACATGGACATGGACCTCTGCTGGATGTGTCTGTGCGGGAAGATGTTGAATTGAGATGAGCGGGTCTGCATTGGGTATACATCGAGTTGTTCGCCTGCGGTTGCGAGCTGAGTTCGGTTGGGAATATCTTGAGGCCTGGGAATCTCAACCACCTACTCATAGATCCCTGATAGAATCTACTGAGGAATATCGAGGAGTTAGCGGCTCAATCAATGAGGGCTCAGCCCTCTTGGCGAATCAGAACGTCCAAAAAGTACCTGTCGGCCTTGAAACAAAGACTGCCGACCTGACGTGCGATTTTATCCTTTGCACTGGCAAATCCTGCTTTGAACAGATTTGTGAAGAAAAGCCGACTTGAGTTTGAGACCAAGGTGGGCTTCTGTGTGAGTACAGTGCTAGTAACTACTCAATGGAAGCCTCAAGCGGTCTTGTGGAAGGAGTGTTCCGAATAACAACATGCTGCAGGCAGGTCGCTGGCAGCTCTAGACCGAGCATAACAGAGCCGCTTCCATGGTATGAGCTGCTGTATCTGCTCGCACGCTTTCGTTCAGGTCTGTGGCCGCTTCCCAACATCTTGTCACACTGATGTTGACCATATCAACGTTTAGAGCTCATGTCTACACCTGCCCAACACAAATGAACTTCAAGGGGCAGATAGACCTAGGAATCAAGCTGTGTTGCGCGGGAACACCACTGAAGTCAGATGACTAACCTGGCCACGAAACGCGAATAAGGCTTGTGTCTTGCGGTCTCCAGACAGCTAGATTAAGAGGTTAAGCCGTACGGCGGCTAGCAAAGCTTGATTGATTTTGGCATTGGGGCATGTTGCCCTCATCAACTCAGAAAGCTGCTATCTCTGTCCGGAATGCAGATGGGCTTCGACCAACATCCCCCAATCCTGCATCTCACGTGCGGCTGCATGAGGGGGCACACGAATCCAAGCTCAGGCGTAAGATCGATGATCTCACTCGTGAAACTCGAACCTTTCTCGAGACCTCCTCGCACACATCGATAACTCTCCTGATCTTGTCAGAGGCTCCTTTGCACCCCCTTATAACACTGGACGTGTGCGTGTGCGAAAATAGACACCTCTCTCTTCCGATGCAGGCAACACAATACAAGATCGGCCGCTTATTTCTGATTGGCTTCGCTTTGTCGGTCGCGGCTTCAGCCTCTCTAGCGGCCAACGCGTCCCAGCCTGCAGCGTGGATTTTCATCTGACGGGGTTAGTGAAATCATATCCATACATGCGTCCTGCTAGTGGCTACTGGCGACGCTCATGCTTCAAACCATGCATATCGAATGGCGATTCTGCAGTTCGAAAAAGCTGATGCAGACCACCTCAACAAAACTTTAGACGATTGCCAAGAACAGGATCACCAGCTACTTCAAGTTGGGAGCTCCTGGGTTATGTTTTGGATTCGATGGAAAGCTATTGCTTTCTTTTCCGCGAGCATGGACTTGCCATGGCTGTATAGGGCAGTTGTGAACAATTCCGCATTGCATCCCTTTCCGTTTTCCCAGGTACCGGCAGGACACAAACAAACACAGCCCACGTATCGGAAACACCCAGAATTCATGCAGGATCCCATGCAAAGTTGTTCGTCATGGACATCATGCCATAAGACTATTCAAAACCTGGTTTGAACACGATTGTGTGCTCTAAGTTCTAAACGACTTTACACAGGTCCGAGATGAACCTGTCGAGATCACAGTGAAAGCTATCAAAGAAGCAACAGACCATTCTTGTCATAGTAATTTTGCACTTCTGAGAATACCGCACTCGAAAGCACAGATCTAAGGCACGCTGGAAATACTGTGCGAGTTTCGGGGCATTCTTCAAGGCATATCATATCTGTTCTCTAAGAAAATTTAAGAGCTTTGGAATCCGTGCCAGAACCTGTTCCGAATTGGACGATCAACGTAAATTTGAGCGCCCCCTTGTCTATGTGACCTGTGCACGCTCACTGTAAAGGAGTTGGCTACACAGAATCAACTACACAGAATCAATTTCCCAACAAGTCCAATCTCCGGAATCCAAGACTAGAACAAAATCGGGCATCTCCTGAAGATTTCCAGTGTGAGGCCTGGTTACCGGCCAACGACCCTAGCAGCAGGACCTGGAGTCTGTCTGGGGATTCGCCGTGAGCTGCTGCAGCTCGTTAATCACAGTGTTGATGTTGACCTGCAGCTGCGACCTTGCAAGCGCTTACTCGTGTGTTCGTCGATCTGGCTTGCAATCCCTGGATTCCGGCCACAGCTTATTCAAACTGCAGCCATGAGTGGCGTCAACAGTCCGGCAAGAGACGACAAATGAAACTCAGTGATGTTTTTGCTGGAACACCACCGCCCCACGTCTGAAGCGGCGTGCTGAACTCCACAGAAAGGTGCACACTCACGCTGAGCACCTGCCCCCATACCCCCACAGGCACGTCGACTTCCGTGAAACACTGATTGATGAGCTGCTGGAACACATGATATCGGCACGGCGTGGCACGGAGAACGAAATGAAGATGAAAATGGGGATGACAAGCCAACTATGACATGTATCGCATTATCTCGCATTATCGTTTTGGCGCGCCAGACACCACGCAGGATTGTCATACGGGTAGGGTCCTGCCCCGGCATGCCGAACACGAGAAATGGCAAAAGGCGGATGCGCGCAGGTAGGTTTGCCTGGAGTGCGGAAGGGAGCTTCTATTATATGGACAGAGCCGCTCCGACTCTTTCACTGTCCCGCTGCGAAGCAATCAATGTGAACAATCTTCCTGGCCATGTACTAGGAAGATCCACACAGTCACATACCGCTGAGCGGGGGGTGCCATGTCAAAGAATCTGCATCCAGCTGCATCATCCAGTTTGGGGCATTGCAGAAAACGCTCTCGTTTGACATTTATCGCATGACCTCTACACTGTCAGACTCACTTGCGCTTGCACATGCCCTGTACCTGCACGTTGGGTGGATAAATAGGTGCAAAAAGGTGAGATGTAGTGCAACTAGTCGAGCAAAAGTGCCCTTGCATTACCACACGAGCCTATCAAGACCACATGCATTCATGTCAGTCGATGCACATGCCGCACTCCTGCGTGTCTAGGTTGAAGCATAGGCACAGGGCCTTTCCCATCTGAATCAAATCGAATCGCCTGGATACTAGCTGACACGTTGGCAGAAATCAAGATGAAGATGCTCATGATCGCTTGAAAGCAATTTTTTCAAGAGCTCGAGGGTAGCTGCAACAAGAAAGAGGTGTAAGAGCCTGAGGAGGTGACGGTTGAGAAAATGGTCTAAGCTAGTCTCGGACATGTGGAGCTGCTTGTGACTAGTGAAGCTCACAAAACTTCACGACGTTCGTTTGAGCTACGTGGAAATAGTCCGAGGCCAAGGCAGCTCCAGGCCGTGGAGCAAGCGGAGGACTGCGACGGCTTTCTTCACCTGCTCTTTGCACTTACAGGCCTCCAAGGCCAAGCTCCAAGTCACGAACTCCAAATCACACAACCCCGGAGCCGAAAATCATACACTCTAATTTAAAGAAAACTTCGTATATCCTTGGAGGCACTGAGTCTATTGCTTGCAAACATCGCCCTGAATCCTAGATGTCTCGCAAAGTAATCCTGCGCGCAGCATGGAAACACCGCTGGCTAGTCGGGAAGCGCTGAGCCACCACATACACACGCTGCCGTGTCTTGAAAGGTAGATTAGCCGCTGATTAGCCAGTCGTACTCCCCGGAAGCTGAAAGTTGGGGCCATGGTCTCTTGCCCAGCTCCCATGCACGAATCCAGATACTGAGACAGCAAAACCGCCACCGGACTCATAGGCATAGCGAAGAAGGTTTCGGCGTTGAAACTGAGGCCTTTCGGGTTTAGATTCGAATGTCTGGATGGGCAGCAAAGCCAAAGCCGTGGCTGGCTTGCTACTACCGGCGGAAGGGAAGGTTGTTCTACAAACACATCCCGACAAGGTTGTCCCTGGGTTGTGCTTCTGCGCCAGGCTTTGCTAGATGCTCGAACAGCAATGCTGCGGTACTCAACCCGATGTCGCTTTTGGGTCGAGGCCTCGACAGCTCGAACGTCACTTTCATGGACTCTGTTTGCATGCCAGGGTTAACGTCAATACCGTCAACTTCGCTCAATACATTTAGAATATAAGTATTGGAATGTTTATCCTGCGCTGCGATGGTTCAGGACGTGGCCCCGACTGTGCCATTCCTCGATACTGGCAGCACTCATGCTCGATTGCTGGCCCACATGCCGTGAGAGCCCTGCGAACATTCCAACTTCCCTCTCCCATGGCCTCCCCATCGCGCACCTGGCTGGGTCGCAGGTACTACGAAAAGTTGCCATTCTGAGAATTCTGCCACAGCTTGAATAGGTCTTGCAAGCAAAGCCGCAGCACCCCAGTCCCACAGCTCAAAATTTCAGATTCAATCACCTTCCGGCCCAAGCTAATGAAGCCAGAATCACATGTGAAGTGGACAACAATTTGAATGAAAATACAGAAACCTCAAAATTGAGAGTGGAGCGGTCGCTGTTGATTGTCGAGCAACAATGGATGATTCAGGAAGGGGCTTTCATCTTTCACTTCCGTTGAGCAAATATTTGGCAGAGAGCATATGGCATCAGGAAATGCACAAGCATTGTAGTCAGCAAGGCACAGACTCCCGCCCGCGGCTTGACCTCCACGCCCAGCGGCAGCTTTTGCAGGTCCAGCGTCGGCTCTTCCGCGGACGTCGGTGCAACCTTTGCCGGCTCTTGCCAGCACCATCACATGAACCCTGAGGGCATCCGACCAAAACGCAAGCTTCTGGGAGCCTGTGCCAAGGACAAAGAACTGAACAAACCCAGCAAACAAGAACACTTCTAGTCTTGATGTCAATCGCCCCAGCTTGGTAGAGACTTGAGGTGCCTGCTCGGCTGGGAGGCAGTGCCCGGGCCAAAAGTTTGCAGGAAGAGGCGACGAGGAGCAGTGGCGACCAACTATGACATGACACCACCACTACTAATAACTAAAAACTAATAAGAAGTACAGCAGCTGATCACAATTACAGCTGACACGAAGCTTCAAGTTGCTGCTTATGCCTTGCTGTCTGCGAGACGTTTCACCTGTAGTGATATACATCCTCAGGATTCTAAGGTATAGGGAGTTGTCCTCAGGCATGTCCCTGAAGCTCTTGCCAGAACATCACCCGTGCATCAGCAGTGGCAGCAGTGGCCTTCTTTGGAAAGAACGACCGGGCGACATTGGGCGACCAGGGACGGTTCTTCGACATGCGACCATCGAGCTATACCGCGACCATCTTGAGCCCTGTACAAGTAGCATAGTCCTCCCTCAGCACAACACTCGAAACATCTCCAAACTATCCAGAAGTCCAATCCGGCTCCATCCTCCATCCTGCCAAACTGCTCTTGGGCCCCCCTGCTCTCACCAAGATGCACCTCAAGGCTGCCACGGTATCTGTGTCCGCAGCGTCCTTCCGTGTCGCAGGCAAACGGGTGAGGGCTCAGAATTTTGGGATGAATTGCTGAGTGCGACACGTGTTGGCAAACATGTCTGGCAGAGGATTGGGTGTGGCTTGAGGGGCTGGGCCACGTGTGCACCTGCCTTGGCAAACAGACACCACACATGAAGCCCGGTGCCCGGTGGCGCTGGCGTTGCTGGCCCAGCTCTACCCCACAAAGAGCACATGTGATCACAAAATGAAATACCTACCTAAACTGCAGCGCACGGCGGTCCTCTGGCAACATTGGCAGGTTGAAGCACCTCGGACACTTCGCAAGGCGAGTTGGTCCAAACCCAGTGTCCCGGATCGGCCGCTTCTACCCGAGCCCGAGACTTTTTTCGTGTTCAACTGAACAGACTGGCAAATTTGCAACGGCAACCTCCAATGTCGGAGGCGTCTAAGAGGGGTCTTTTCAGGGTCTCCTGAAAGCAAAGCGGCAAAGAACTCGGAGATTTTCTGGGCGCCCCGACGACATGATGCGATTTAAAGCTGGGAGAAGCTGTCCGAGCCGCTGCTTGGGGCCCGAAGCCTCCTGAGAGAACGGGAGAACTCCTTTGGGAATGTGAAAAGCCTATGCCGTCCTTATGTCTTACTGTGGGTTCAATACGTAGGAACCTTTTGGGCGGTGTTGAGAATGGACATGGCTGCATTCGGCACTCAAACTGCATGCGCTTGGCAGAGATGTGTCTCCCTTTCCCAGACTGCGGCCATGCTCGCGGACACCTGCAGTTCGATTAAAACCCCACATTTTGTTCTTGCCGGATGTTATTTCCGCGAAGCAACAGGCCACAACACATCCAAGGCAAGACGAGGTATCGAATTTGAAGCCCACAGCTTCGGTTCCTCATGCATGCAAGGCCGACTGCCTCTAGCCCCGTGCCTGCTTCTGAGGAACTGCATTCGCGAGCTCGTTTGCCTCGTCCTCGCAGCATTGTCGGCATGCCTACCATCACTGGAAAACGACGGCAAACCCCTGCCAGTCACACCGGCCACCAGAGGAAGGTTTATAAACCAAGACTTTGCGTGGACTGGACGAACTTAAACGACTGTTTTTAAAACACTTCCTCACCACGGCATCGGCACTAAGGCCTGATCCGTGCTCCTGATTAATACATACGCCTCTATAAAAAATAAAATTGAGCGGAAATTGTGTATTTCGGCTGTTTCAGGAAACCTCCTATACTTAAGGACTAAGGAAAAATTGACGACTTTACTGCAACTACAACCTTCTTAGAAGTGTAGAACTTAACACTTGCAATTACAGCCGTCTTAGAGGACGAACCTGGAGAAAACTCAGATCCAGGCCTGGCCCAGAAGTATCGATTCTTTATCAAACCGCTTTTTCAAAGAAGCCCAGAATCATTCCATCATGAGCTACCCCCTTACGCATGGTCTTCTGAGCAGCTTGCTCTGCATTTATGAAACCCCTCACAATAAAAGCTATGGGAAATTAGTTTCGGGGCCTTGGCTCGGGCCTGAGGTCTGTGGCTTTCGGTTGGAGCTGCACTCTTCGAAAAAGTCCAAAATCATTCCATCCTGAGCTACCCCTTACGGCTGGTCTCCGGAGCCGCTTCCTCTACGTTTATGCAGTAAGTTTTCGGTGCCTTGGCTCGGGCTTGAGGTCAGTGGCTTTGCGGCTGCAGCTGCTGTCTCGGCATTGGTCCAAGCCTGCACAACGCCTGCACACAACCTGTCATGATTTAATTGCTATGTACATAACCTCTACTTGCTATATACTCCCTGCTTACTGCATGCTACTGTACTACTTACTGATTCCTTAATACTTACTTCATTGACTTACTACTTATCAATTACTTGCTATTTACCTAAATACTTATTATTGAAAATGAATAAAGAGTATTTAATTGCTACTTCTACTCTTACTCTTACTCTTACTCTTACTCTTACTCTTACTCTTACTCTTACTCTTATTCTTACTCTTACTCTCACTCTCACTCTCACTCTCACTCTTACTCTTACTACTACTACTACTACTACGACTACTAACT